TTCAAGATCTTCTTTGTATTCTTTCTTTTTTAAAAAACATATTTTATTGATTTTTTACAGAGAGGAAGGGAGAGAGATAGATAGCTAGAAACGTCGATGAAAGAGAAACATCGACCAGCTGCCCCTTGCACACCCCCTACCGGAGATGTGCCCACAACCAATGTACATGCCCTTGACCGGAATCGAACCCGGGACCCTTCAGTCCGCAGACCGACGCTCTACCACTGAGCCAAACCGGCTTCGGCTTTGTATTCTTTCTTAAGTAATTTTACTATCTTTTGCTCTCACTTGATTTCTTCACATTGAGAACTTCTTTGGTTTCTTCCTCCTTGTCCTGGGAGCTCAGCAGGTTGGCCTGTGGCACCCCTTTGTTCTTCACGGGCTCCTGCGCTGCTTCAGCCTGTTGCCGGGGTCGGCGCCGCCCAGGAAGCAGCCCCCGGCCTAGGCTCCGTTGCCAGCACTCAGCAGTCGAAGGCTCAGGGGCACCCCCCTCCTGGGGGCCCCGTCGCCCGGCTCCTTGATGGTGCCCGGCTTGCCGGTGTCCGGCAGGGGCTCCTGCTCCTCGTCGCGTTCCTCCAGTCTGGAGCTTTTTTTCTCCTTCCCGCTAGGGGAGTCTAGGATCAGAGTCAACAGACTGTCCTCTGCATGCAGTGTGCGCGACTCCGGGAGCTCCACTTTTCGCAGCTCCCCCAGGACTCCACCTCACAGCCCCGTCTCCCTCTGCTTGAGCCTGGGTCCCCAGGGATTGGCCTAGAACTGAAGTTCAGGGCAGTCGGGAGTGGGGCTCAGCACCGCCGGAGATTTTGTTTCTTCCCGCCAGGGCAATACAGCGTCAGAGTCAACATTCTGTCCTCTGCATGCATTGTGCGCATCTGCACGCAGTGTGTGCGACTCTGGGGGCTCCGCTTTTCGCCCCTCCCCTGGGATTCTGCCTCACAGCCCTGTCTCCTCCTGCCTGAGCCTGGGTCCCCAGGGTCTGGCCTAGGACTGGGGTTCAGAGCAGTCGAAAACTGGGGGGCCGGGGCTCCTGTTTCCTTCCCTCCAGGGCAATCCCGCATCAGAGTCAACATTCCTTCCCTTGCAAGCAATGTGCGTGACTCCGGGGGCTCGGCCCTTCACCACTCTCCCAGGACTCCATCTCACAGCCCCGTCTCCCTCTGCCTGAGCTTGGGTCCCCAGGGATTGGCCTAGAACTTGGGTTCAGAGCAGTCCAGACTGAGGCTCAGTGCCGCCAGAGGCTTTGTTTCTTCCGGCTAGAGTAATCCAGCATCAGAGTCAACATTTAGTCCTCTGCGCGCAATGTACGCGCGACTCCGGGGGCCCTGCCCTTCGCTGCTCCCCTGGGATTCCGCCTCACAGTCCCGTCTCCCCCTGCCAGAGCCTGGATCTTCAGGGTCTGGCCCATAACTGGGGCTCAGCTCTGCCGGTTCGGGGGTTCAGCCCAGGCTGGGGGTTTTATTTCCTTCCTGCTAGGGAACGCCAGGCAGCACCCAGCCCTCTCCTCCTCTCCAGCTGCGACCTCTCCATGCACGCACATGTGCGTGCGGGCACACAGCATGTCTCCGTACCTTAGGCTTTTTTTTCAGCTCCTCTGATTTTCCTTCTGGTCTTCTCTTTCCTTCTTGTAGAATTTTCAGTCAGTCGACTACCTGTAGCTCTGGGTAATGTCCACTCTACATTTTAGTTGTATTCCATTGAAATTGTTGTGTGCTGCTGTGGTTAGATGTCTACCCGAGCAGCCATCTTCTGTATATTATTCTTTATTTCAGTCTGTGTATGCTTAATTTCTGATTGGTGATCCTTTTCCATATCTTTGAAGGTCTCACTAAACTAATCAGAGGTTTCTAGAAGATTCTTGAGTAACTTTATAACTGTGGTTTTGAACTCTATATTCAGTATTTTGCTTTCATCCATTTCTTTCATTTGTGACTTGTTTCTTTGTCTCAGCATTTTGGCTGCTTCCCTGTGTTTGTTTCTATGTACTGGGTAGCTACTAAGTCTTCTTGAGTTGATAGAGTGGCCTTGTGTGGTAGGTGTCTTAGCAGGGCCCAGTGGCTCAGCCTCCCCAGTAACCTGAAGTGGACGCTCTTGGTGCACCCCTTTGTGGGCTGTGTGCACAGTCTTGTTGTAGTTAACGCTTGATTGCTATTGGTATCACTGGGAGGAATTGACTTCCAGGCCAATTGGCTGTGATGACCAGCTGTGTCTATACTGAAAGATGTGTTGCGCAGGAGACACCCTTATGGGGCAGGACTTGCTTCAGTGGGGCTTTGGTGCTCACTGAGTCTGCCCCTTGAATGTGTATCTTATGGATGTGAGAAGTTGTAGTCTGGTATGATCTCCCTCTGATTACTGGATTCACTGGCTCTTGGATCTCCAAGGAGGTGCAAGTCAGCCACTGTCTGGGGCCACCCAGGAGGAGCTACACAGAGATCTGTAGATTCCTCTTCTTTTATGGAGTTTGGAGGTGCCCAGGTGAGGCCCAGTTGTGAAGCAAGGCAGGCTGCTGCTGCTGAGGCTTGGGCCTTCTTTTGGAAGCTCTGGGGCTCTCTGACCCAGCTGCAGTTTGACAGGTTTTAGGCAGAGAAAGTCTAGGCCATTCATATGCAAAAGCCTATGCACATAGCTTGGGTGATGGTATAAATTGGGTGGGGCAGGGTCTCTGGGAATCACTAGGGTGGAGTAAACAGCAATGGCTGCTAGTCAGCCCCAAACTGAAGGGTCCCCACATCTCCATGTCCCTTACCTCATGCAGGAACAATGATCACTGCAAGCACTGGTGAGAGAAAGCTGCCCTCACGTTCCTGTCCCAGTGCCAGAAAGTCAGTTTCTCCCCGTATGTATTTGGGTTCCCCAGAGTCTTGCCCAGAACTGGAGTTCAGAGCAAGTGGGAGCTTGTATCTTCCTCCCAATTAAAAGAGCAGCACATCCAGGTGCCAGCACTTTCTGTGCCTCTGCACCTCTTACCAGTCTCATTGCACTTTCTTCACCTCTCTACTTGTGGAACTTCCACTCAGCCAGCTTTCCCACAGTTCTGAATGGTAGTTCAAAATTATTGATACTTGTAATTTTGATGTGGTTGTCAGAGGCAGCAAATATAGGTGTTTACTTATGCTGCCATCTTGGTTCTCTCTTCTTTTCAGTTGGGTCAAGTTTCTAAACTTTCTAAATCTTCATTTTCCGGCTAATGAAAAGAAAATAGAATTCCAACAAGTCTCCTATCTACCATATCTACTCCAGGACTTCTGTGAGGATAAAATGAGATGAGGCATGGGAAAATGCTTCACAGACATTTGGTTAGAGTGTAAAGTGTTTCCATCTGGCCATAGTGTTTCTGGGCTGAAGAAACTGCAAGAAGGCTAATCTTTGCTAGGGAAAGGAAACTCGGCATTGCTATGTGATGTCATTACCTGGACAGAGGGAAGGACACTTAACATATTAGCCTTTTATATATATAGATTTTTTTATACATTGTTTCTGTTGTTGTTTAGGTCTTTGTGATCCTTTTAGGTCTTTGAGTATATTTAAGAAAGTTGTTTTAAAATCTTTGTCTGGTAAGTCCAATGCTTGCATTTTCTTAGGAATTGTTTCTATGTTCCCCCTCTTTCCCATGAATGGGCCATATTTCCTGTTTATTTGTATGCCTTATAATTTTTTTATGGAAATTAGGCATTTAAAATATTATAATGTAACTCTATAACTTAGATTATTCTCCTCCATATTATGGGATATTATTGTTGATTTTTTAGGGCTGCAGTTATCTATTTCTTTTGTGATTTATTCAAATTATTTTTGCAAAGACTGTGTTCCTTGTCATTTCCATTAAGTCTTTGTTCCATTATCTCAGTAGCCTGGTAATGAACTAATAGATTTCTTAAAACAGTAATTTGGCTATCCTTTAAAAAGTAATTAGCCCTCTGGTTGCTATAAGTTTTGCAACTAGAATTAGATTCTGGAATTTGAAATAATTGATCTGTCAGTGTTTGACAATTTATACTGGTTTCAATGGAGAAACCAATTCTTTGAGCACCATACTCCACCATTTTGTATAATGTCACTTCTCCCTTCTCTTTTGATATAAATTTTCTTTGATATTATTCTTTTTTATTTTATTTTTTAAGTAATTAGTCTCCCACCCTCCAGAGCTTAGAGCGAACAAGGGGAGGTGGGGGTGTCAACGATATACAAAGTAATATCACATGACTTGTGGTTTTTTTTTAATGCTTGCCAAACTTACTAATACAGTGTTTCAGCCATGCAAGTTATCTCACCACCTGCAGTTGCACTAGTGAAATTATAAAGGAATTATTTTCTTTATGTGAGATAAAGCCAAATTATAACAATGGACCTCATTTTGTTATCTATATATATAAAAGCCTAAGTGACTGTTAGACTGTTTGATAGGTCGCTATGACATACACTGGAGCTGCCCCTGGTAGTTGGTATGCTCCCATAGCAGAAGCACCACTCAGCTGACCGATGGGCCCCAGTCACCTCTGGGCTCATGGCTAGCAAGTGCACCTGCAGCAGCGTGAGCCTCTCCCATGGACAACCCTCCTGTGTATCCCTCCCCCTTCAGGACCCGACTGGCATTGGGACTGACTGGGTGCAAGCCTATGGCCGCTTCTTGGTCATGGGCGCACCAGTATCACCCTAGGACAGGCGCTCGGAGACCTGCAGCAGAGTGGCAGTGAGCCTGCCAACTGGGGGTTGCAGGCGCAACAGGGTCAGGACGAGCAGGAGCACCATGCGGCTGGCCAGGGCTCAGGCTCCTCCTTGGCTGCCTCCCGCTTCATGTATTACTACATTCTTCAGGGGGTGTTGGACTGCCAGTTTTGACCCAATTCCGCAGGCCAGGCCGAGGGACCCCACTGGTGCACGAATCCATGCACTGTGCCTCTAGTTATTTATAGCCATCAATAGTATTATACTAAGTTTAAAATTTATATTGATATTTAATTATTGTTTTATTAACTTTTTCTGGTCTGTTTTTATTTCAGAGCTCATATTGTTCATTTAACACCCTGGATGAATATGTAAAGCTCCCTGGTTTTATACGTATGTTATTATTTGTATATGTATTCTTATAATTTTCAAATATTCATTGAAATTGAAAACATGAAGTCATATAAAACAATGGTTATCAAAATTTTCTTTCAAAATGTAAATCCACTTATATGTTGTGATAGCTGGAATGAAAAAAATCTATGGAATTATAATATAAGTGGAAAATAAGGCAACATACAAGTGATCTTAAAATCCTAGATAATGTTTATTTTTATATATTATAATACTTAGTAACCTGTTTATTTTTAATTTTTTTCCATCACCATGTAGTTTATCTGTATTTACAAACATGTTGGCTACCTTGTAGATCTATTAGTGGAGAGGTTTTTCTAATTCAAAAAGTTGTTCTATGATATCATTATGAAAACATATGCAACATACCAGTAAACCCAAAGATGGTAATCAGAATACTTAACAACTAGAACAGCATGAGCATGTAACAACCAAATCAAATAATGGTGTTGGATCAGAGTTCTGGAGGTTTCTCGCTGTGCCATATTGGGGTTTAAGGAAAGAATGTGCTTCACTTTTAACAGCTGCAAAAACATTCAGAATCACCTAGAGTGCATGATGAGTTTTTTGTTTGTTTTTACTTTATTTTTTGAATTAGAATTAAGTACCAGAAAAAGTAGAAGTACATAATATAAACACTGACTGCAATCTGACTAAGAAACAATCTTTTCTCTACATAAAAGTACAGAGCACAATGCCATTTAATTTTAATCATATGTATGCATTTTAACAGTACTATTGAATATAGTAATTGGATTTATTAGTGACAGACCCAAGAGTGACAGAAATTAAAAGGAGTAGTAATGATGGCAACAATAACAACAACATTTGCATTCATTGCATGCTTATTGTGTTCCACACATGGTGTGACATGCTTTAGCCCTTTAAATTACACAACAACTCTATGAAGGAGGATCTTCATTGTTTGACAAGTGAAGAAACTGAGAGGGAGTCCAGATAATTTGTTCCAAGTTAGATGGTTCGTTAGTTCAGAGACTACTGGAGAGCAAGCAGTCTGGCTCCAGAGCATGCACTCTTAATAGCCATGCTACACAATCATTAGTTAGATGCAGGTGTAGAACATGCTGGTCAAATGCGATAAATGCCTACTTATTTATATAATTATTTAAAAAAATTTTTCAGATGACTTAATGCAAGATAAGAACTGTGGATGGCTAAATACAAATAAAAAAGGAAAAACAGTAAGTAGACAACATATACTTAAAAACAATAATTAACATTTTATATTGTTTTGAATTAATGTTTTATCATACATTTCATCATTTATTATAAATTTATTATTATAAAGCAATATAAATATAACATTAACTTTAGCAGACTATGCTATTGAATTGCTTACTTCTACCTCCGCCAAAATTGCTATTGCTTAATAAGCAACTCACAATATTACCCGGAAAGCATGGACTACCTCTGCCCATCTATTGTGATATGAACAATTTTAAAGAAACTATTCTTCTCATTCCAGTTGCCCATTAATACCTGAAATTAATGATATTGTATTCCTTTCTTTGAAAAAGTTTAACCATTTGTATGCAATAAGCATCTATAGATGTAAGTGATGGACTTTTTAAATTTAAATTCAAAATCGTGGCAATTAACCGATTAATTGTTCAAGATTCAACTGTCTACATGCAGACTACCAGCAGTAAATATTTCAGAGCTACAACAGGGCTTGTGTAGCTTGGGATGAGGATCAGGCAAGAAAGAGATACTGAGCCCAGCCGGCATGGCTCAGTACTTGAGTGTAGGCCTATGAGCCAGGAGGTCACGGTTCAATTTGGGTTGTGGGGCGCGGTGCCACCCAGGCTCAGTCCCAAGTCGAGGTGTACAAGAGGCAGCCGCTGGGTGATTCTCTCTCATCGTTGATGTTTCTATCTCTCCCTCTCCTTTCCTCTCTGAAATCAATAAATATATACAAATATATTTTTAAAAAAGATATACTGAGATGAAAGGTGAGAAGGAGAGAAAGAAAACTTATTCTGCTTCACACTTTGCACTCAGTAGAGAAGGACCATGCTTACCCAGGGAGGAAGTTTCCGAGCCCCAGAGGAAGCATCAGTACTTTTCCTCGCAATGTTTTTTCCTTGCAATTTTTAATACCATCACAAGTAGTATTTATTCCAAATATAGAAGGCTGGTTTACATTTGAAATCAATCCACATAATCCACCCTATCAACAGACTAAAGGAAAAACTCATATGATCAAATCAATAGACAAAAGAGTTTTGTGGGGATCAGGCCAAATCCGTGCACAGGCCTCCAACATCCCCTGAGGAAACTTGGATTGTGAGAGGGTACAGGCCAGGCTGAGGCACTCCACCAGTGCATAGCCTCTAATATAAAATAATATTGAATGTCAAATGTAACTGAAAAATAAAGTTTAACAAATATATATAGTTCTCAGTTACTAAAAAAACCCCTCCAGCTTACTTTATAGTTAATACCTTTCAACACCAGGAAGAAAGCAAGGGCTATCGTGTGGGAAGTTTTAGAAATTGTAATAGAAAAATAAAAGTCACAGAGATTGGAAAGGAAGAAAAACAACTCTCTCTGTTTTCAGATTAAATGGTTGTCTATGTAAAAAATACCAAGGAGACTATAAAAATAATAAATGAACTCAGTAAGGTTAAAAGATAAAATAACAAAAATCAATAACCTTTCCATATGCTAACAACACGTGGAAACAAAATTTAAAACAGAATAGCAGTTATAATAATTTCAAATAAATTACTTATAAACCTATCAAGACATGTACAGGATAAAAGTTACAAAATGCTGATGGAAGAAATCAGAGACCTAAGTAAATGGAAAGGCATACCTTGGATTAGAAAACTCAATTTAGTAATGATATCAGTTTGTCCCTACATGGACCTATAGATTTAATGTGATTTTTATCTAAATTCCAGGTTTTGGTTTTGTTTTTTTTAAATATGGACAAGATCATTCCAAAATCTATGTATAAAGACACAGGTCCTAGAATATCTAACAATGTTTAAAAAGAAGAAAGTGGGAGGAATCACTTTACTTGATTTCAAGGTCTACTATATAGCCACAGTAATAAAGAATCAAGAAGTGCGGTATTAAGGAAAAAAGAGACACACAAAGATCAAAGGAACAGAATAGACATCTTAGAAACATACCTACATAAACATGCTCAGGTGATTTTTGACAGCGATGTAAAGGCAATTCAATGGAGTAAAGCTAACCTTTTCAACAAGTGGTATGAGAGCAATTGGCCATCCATGGGTAAACAAAACCAAATTTTGACCTAAGTCTTATATCTAAAATAAAAATAAAATCAAATATGGAGAAATTGATGGGAATTTAAAAATGTATAGCCACTCCTGAACAGTTTGGCAGTTTCTCAAAAAAATATACACTGAGTTTCCAGATTATTATGATATCTGAACGCATAATAATCTGGGCACTCATTTTGTGTGTGTGTGTGTGTGTGTGTGTGTGTGTATACATATTAGAGGCCCAGTTCATGAATTTGTGCATGGGTGGGGTCCAGCCAGCCTGGCCAGGGGGAGGAGACATGGGTGGTTAGCTGGTCTGCCTGCTGGTTGAACTCCTGGTCAAGGAGTTTGCATATTAGTCTTTTATTATATAGGATATACACTGAGTAGCCAGATTATTATGCTTTCAGAGATCATAATAGTCTAGTTCCTCAGTGTATATGCAACTGCTATGTAACCCAACAATTTTACTGTTCAGCATTTATCCAAGAGAAATTAAGTCTTATGTTTACAAAAACAACCTGAATACAAATATTCATCGCAGTCTTATTCATAATAGCCCAAAAGTGGAAACAACCCAGATCTCCTTCAATTGATGAATGGCAATTATTCATACCATGGAATAATTAATACTCAGCAATAAAAAGGAACAAAGTATTGTTACATACAACAACCTGGACAAATGTCCAGAGAATTGCACTGAGTGAAAGAAAAAAAAAAAAAAAAAGCTGATCCCAAAATGGTATACATTGTATGACTCTATTCACATAACATTTTTGAAATTATAAAAATGAAGAACAGATTAGTGGTTGCCAGACATTAAATAGGTGGTGAAGGCAGGAAAGAAATGGATGTTACTATCTATAAAACGACATTGGAGATCCTGGTGGAAATGTTCTGCAACTTGACCTTATAATGTCAGTGCCCTGGTTGTGATATTTTACTACCGTATATCCCCGAAAATAAGACCTAGCGCATGGAAAGATAAGATATCCCCTGAAAATAAGACCTAGCGCAACTTTGGGAGAAAAAATTAATATAAGACACTCTTATTTTCGGGGAAACAGGTAGTTTCACAAGATGTTACCATTGAGGGAAACTGGATAAAGATTATATGGGCTCTCTGTGTTATGTCTTACAAATGCATATAAATCAATATTTCCTAATAGCTGGATTTTCAAAAACTAAAGAAAAAGAAAACTTACCTTATATATATTTCTTAAAGGTGGTAGCCAGACCAGTATACAACAGATGAAACTAAAGTAAATTGAACAAGATAAATTCAGTGGGTAATTTATACAACATAGGATATGTACAATCAATAGATTTAGAAGGTTGAAAGAACCCATCACCTATGGCAACAGGCTTCTGAAGAAGACATATCAGAGTTCTTGAACAAATTCTGAAAAGTCTAGGCTGATTGCTTCACAGACAAGTCACAAAAATCCTCAGAATTTTATGGTAAAATAAACTTTGAAGTTGTTAGAATTTAAAAGAGGGGTTTTTTTTTCTTTCTTTTAATAGAAATGTGTTAGTTTTTATCTCAATCAGCTTTTAAATTTTTTTTATCTTACTAGAGGCCCAGTGCATGAGAATTCATGCACTAGACGGGGGGTCTTTCAGCCCGGCCTAACCTCTCACCGTCTGGGAGCCTTCAGGGACAGGAGGTGGCCCGGTGGCCAGGGGAAGGTGATGCCCTCATCACACCTCTACCCCTGCCACTGCCAGCAGTGCAAGCCTCGGCTAGCCCTGGTAACCGGAGCCTCAGGTGACCCTGGACGGCTGGGCAGCTGCCACCTGAGGCTTATCTGTAGTTTGGGCTGGCCCTGGGCAGCTGAGAAGCCGACATCAGAGGCTTGTCTGCACCCTGGGTCAGCCCTGGGAGGCAGAGGGGCATGAGGGGACAGGCATGGCCATCTTGTGGCTGTGGGCACTGCCATCTTTAAAGGTGTAGCAGTCAATTAGCATATTCCCTCTTTATTACATAGGATTGATTTTTTACAGAGAGGAAGAGAGAGGGATAGAGAATTAGAAACATCAATGAGAGAGAAACATCCATCAGCTGCCTCCTGCACATCCCCTACTGGGGATGTGCTCACAACCAAGGTACATGCCCTTTACTGGAATTGAACTTGGGACTTTTCAGTCCAAAGGCTGATGCTTTATCCACTGAGCCAAACTGGTCAGGGCTAAAAGAAGAAGGTTTTAAAAAAATGAACCTAAGGTAGTGTGTTAAAGAAATGCAGTATTTTGTCCAGTCAGTATGGCTCAGTGGTTGAGCATTGACCTATAAACCAGGATTTCTGGTCAGGGCACATGCCCAGGTTGTGGGCTCTGTCCCCAGTGTGGTTCAAGCTGGAGGCAGCTGATCAATGATTCTTGTTCATCATTGATGTTTCTCTCTCTCTCTCTCCCCCTCTCCCTTCCTCTTTGAAATCAATAAAACCATATTTTAAAAAACGAAATGCAGTATTTTGAGACAAACTTCTGAAGTGCTAATCTGAATTGGAAAGGACTAACCTTTCAACTCTTGACTGGTTCACGTGACAGTCTTTCAGTAGTTTTTTCTGGGCATTTTTATAGCCCCTTCATAAGTTAAGACTTTCAAAATATGGCTTAACTTATTTCTACTTAAACCCTAACAAAGACTAGATGCTAATATTTTCCCAAACATCAGGATGTAAGAAAGGTGGGGAGGGATGAGAAATTTAACTTTACCTACCAGTGAAAGACAGCGTTTGGTGATGGTAAGAGAAATTCGAATGAAATAGTAAAATAACTTGGATTTTTACAGGTAGAAATATCTAGATTCTTTCACTTCCATGGTCATATAACTTTGGGCAGTTTACATCTGAGTTTCAGTTTTTTCATCTGCAAAATAAGTATGCTATCATTTATTTCAAAGAATTCCAAAGAGCTTGAAACATAATAGTCACTTACTATTATGATAAGCATTATCTTTTTTTCACCTGTATAAGTATATTATAGGATAAATATGAGAAGTGGAATTGTTGGGTCAAAGTTTTATTCTCATAGAAACTGCCAGATTACTCTTTAAGCCAAATTAATGTATTTACACCCCAAATGTAGGAAAGTATCCATTATCCCTGCTATGTAGAAATACACCCTGGTTTATTCTAGCCTTCCTCTCTTTGTCTATTTTGTAACTTCTCTCTCCAACCATGAGAAATATGGATCTCAACATTCACTATCCATTTACATATACATAAAGCAGTTTCAGAATTCCTAACTTGTACTACACCCACGACAAATTTACCTACTAGTGCACATACAGTGTTTATGTATAGTTTATTTTATCTTTAGCCTTACATTTCTAGTCACAAAATTCAGTTACCAAGATCAGTTCTTTTTTTCTCCTACTCCCTTCAGTGTATTTATAGCTTACATTTTAATACAGTTAGATTCACTGTCTGCATTATTTTTTGTAAATAAGTGATTTATCTATATTTATTATCAACTCAGAATTGACTCCTTTATCCAACTGTTTTCAAGTGAGAAAACAAAAAAACTAGTTCTGAAAGCTTAAGTGACTTACCCGAAGTTACAGTTAAAGTTGGGATGAGGAGCTAAAACTCAGGATTTCTGTGTCAAAGTGGTTTGAGACTTCCTCAAATAGGGATGTTTTTAGCCAAGTCTCTGAAATATTTCTTGACCCTCATCATTCTGTTTTTATTGTTTTAATTTTAGTTTCATACGTTAATGTTTACTCTTTGTGAAATACAGCTCAAGGAATTTTGACAAATGCATAATGATGTATTTTAATTATTTAAAAAAATTTTAATAATATTGTCTATTCAAGTTTTCTTATTCCACTTGACTCACTTTTGCACAAAGACTTTTCTATATGCCATCAACATTTTTTCAGATTGATTATCCTAATAAACTAGCCATGTTTTCGGCATCTTAATTTTCACTTAATATCACTTTGTTTATATTGCCTTTATATCTACTTAATTACTTTAAATGGCTAAAATGTTTTTCATAACAATAGCCAATACTCTTATTGCAAGCTACTATATTAGTGCCTTCATATATTAACTCATTAAATTCTCACAGAAATCTTATGAGGTACATATTATTATTATATTTTATATGTAGGGAAATTATGCATAGAGGGACTGATTGTCTAAGGACATAGCTATTAAGTGGTAAATTTGGGTTTTGAATACGGGCAGACTAGCTCTGGAGTCTGTGTTGCAAACCACCAAATTTTACTGTTTCTCATTGTGAGCCTGTACAATTATTTAATCAATGCCCTATTAAGAATTCCTTTTATTATTCTTACATTTATAAGTTTTATAAGCCTTTAAAAAAAATTAAAGCTATACCTGCACAGCCCCCCAAAATTCTGTTGGCACAAAAGGGTATAATGCAAAATGAAAGTTATCCTTCTCTACCCACAACCACACTACCATTCTCATTTCCCTAGGATGACTACTTTTAACAGTTTGCTTTATAGTTATTCCAGTAAGTTTTATTATAGTTTTAACTTATTGAAAGTCTATTTGATTTTTCAACTTACCAACTTCAGGTAGAGTGTGTTGATATTACACTTGGAAAGATGAATGATTTAGAGCATTTATAATATTTCAAATATTCCCTCTAATTTTTCTCAGTGCTATTAAGCATGAATATTTATTTTTCTAATGGTTATCTTTAAGCCTTTAAAATATATGTAAACCAAATGGACATTATCTACCAATTTCCTTCTATGAATTATGAAAAAGATTTTTTTTAAAGGTTTCATTTTCTGTCTCCTGAGAATCACTGAGAATGTGATTTCAATATATTATCACATGCCATTTGTTATCTAAAGCATTTTAAAACCTTTTAAAGTTAAATTATTATTTGTTCTGACAATTCTGTTTTCTACTTTTGTTTCCCCTTGAAGTTATTGTACATCATTTTGGTTTTATAAATTCAGTAGAATAAATATTACAGTATTAAGGAAGTTAAGAATATATGTGTGTGTGTGTGTGTGTGTGTGTGTGTATCTTTAAATACAGATTTATTTTGATAATTGGAAGAGTATAATATTATGAGAAACTTGGGAAATATTCTTTCATTACAAGCAAGTTCAAAATTAAAACTTTTCTTTTTATAAGGTGGCTTTTTTTCAAAAACAATACATGGTAGCATCTTTGAGACCAGAACATTTAGAACCCAAACCAAAATATCAGGTGAGTGCTATGTTATCCTATTCCAATACCAATCATACTTAACTATTAGGTTTTCCTAATATATTATGTAATTCAATGGCTCCAAAACCAAAATACTCATTAGAAATACTGGGTTATCTTTTAAAAATACGTATTCCCAGGTCCCACCTCTGACCTAACAACCTCAGTTTTGAAATGGAGCCTAGGAATTTGTACTTTTCAAAAAACCTAAGTGGTTCTTATGCTGTCACTTGAATATCAAGTAGTATTTGAAAACCAGTTATAATGAATTGTATCCATTGAAATGAAGCTTTGACTACTAATGTGATAAAATTCTAGGTTGATTTCACACTTCGTTTTTTTACCAATTGGATAGATAATGTAGAAGTTGTTTAATCAAAAGTTTTGAATAAGAAACTTCATTTCAGTGATAAAATAGTTAGATTTCAGAGCTACAAAACTGCCTATGGATGTCACACTGAATTTCACTGTAAATCCAGAATTTTGTGTACTGCTGTCTCTTAACCATTTCTGAGGCATACAAAGTATTAATCAAAAAGCAAGATTTTACTGTGATGTGTCACAGTAAGGTACATGTGTCAAACACAAGGCCCGCGGGCCAAATCCGTCCCGCCAGGCCTTGCAATGTGGCCCGCACTGCGCTGTCATCACTGCACTCCGCTGCGTTTCCATCACAATGACAGTTTATGACTGTTCAGTAAACCATTCAGCCCGCGATTTAGGCTGGATTTTAGATTTTGGCTCCTTCTCTGATTGAGTTCGACACCCCTATTAAGGGTTAAATGGAACTCATCACAGTTGAAATTCTCAGACTTAAAAAGCAGGTGACATAGGCCCACAAGTCAGCCTTTAAAGAATATTCCTGATACTTTCACTGGGATAAATATTACTTTGCATTTTTAAAAATTTTCCTAAAATGATAAATGTTTGTACAGATAGGACTTAGATCCTGATGGTAGACATTGTTTAAGCAAATGCTACTAACACTGGAAGTTGAATTCTTTACTATTTGTGAAGTATTTACAAATATTCCAGGTTGGATAAAGCTTTTGGATACAGAATAGTAATAGAGTTAGAAATTGGAAATTTTTGCATTAAAATTTCAAATACTTTTAAAATAATTTTATTTTATTAAATAAATATTTTTAAAATAAGTTAGTTTTCAGTTTGTAGAAGGTAGGAGGATGGATAGATAGACTGACAGATTGCTTAAAGACTTAGTAGAAATGTATTTTTTCATTTTTTTATTAAGGTATTATATGTATACATATCTTACCATTGTCTCCCCCCTCCCCACTCCCATACAGAAAATGTATTATAAATTCAAAATAAATGTTACAGGATGTCTTACCTTTTTTTAATTTTACAGAATCTCAACACCAAGAACGATTTTGATCCTTTTCTAAGGCCTATAAACAACAAAATATCAGCCAGTAAAAGGAACTATGAAGATATGTCCAAATATAGAAACACTTTAAGTACAGATGTTATAGAACACGAGGACCAAGATCCTCCTGATTCAACACATTCAAAACCTTTAAGCCCTACTGATACAAACCAGCCCAATGGTCTTGATAGCAGCATTGTAGACACTAAAAAACAGTCAAGCCCTACTGATACAAACCAGCCCAATGATCTTGATAGCAGCATTGTAGACACGAAGAAACAGTTAGCCCCTGATCCTGATACCATCACAAAACAGACTTTAAGCAGTACGAATAATTTAGATTGTGATCCTACCATCACCACAATAAAAAATTTAGATGTTAAGAATCACTTGAAGGAAAGACTAGTAGCTGCATCTTTGCCAAACTTTACAAGAGAATCATCACCAACTGAAAGTATAGATAGAACTATAGGTCGCCTCTCAAAATCATTAAGTTTTACTGACCTCCCACTCAACTTACAGCAAACTGTGGTGCTCAGCCCAAATTTAAGTAAAAATCTTGAAGACCTTTTAGATAAAATATTTTCTAAAGCAAACATTCCTAATGACACTGAAGCAAGAGAGAAAAGCCCTAGTTCTCCACTTCCAGGTGTTCATGCTAACCCACCAAAAATTCTGGAAGATAATATACTTGAAAAAATCCAAGATTTAAACAGCTGGCTTTCAAAAGGAGACATTTTGAATTCAGAGTCTCCTGTAAATACAAAAATTAAAGATATTCCTGGAGTTTCATTTTCAGAAGATGGGCCAGGAAATTCTCTAGAGATAAACAGGGACCTCGACTCTGAAAACCACTTGGAGGATGATGAGATAGCTTTCCCAATTAAAAAAAAAAGTACTGTCAAAAAGAAACATTTAGAAAGTGAAGTGTTGAGCACCGAACCAGATTTCAGTAGCCTCACACATGATTTCATTATAAAGCAGATATTCACTGCCCCATTCTTCTCCAAGTTGGCGATGGGAGTGGAAGAATTGAGTGAGACACAGCTCTGCTGGCAGGATCAATTGTCCACATCTTGGGAGAGTTTATATTCAAATACTTCAGGTCACAATGAAAAAATTGATGATGGGGAAGAATTGTCAGAGGCCCAATCTATTGCAAGCCAGATAATTCAATCATTGCCTGTAGATACTCTTTTAGGAACTGGGATCATCAAAGTGGTAGAATTGGATGATGGAGGCCAGAAGAGTTCTTTGCTGCACACAGAGACAGCCTTTGCTGGAGAAAAACCAAAAGGCTCCACAGAAGATTACTCGGAAATCAAGAGCAAAACAGATTTTCTTGCAAGGCAGAATATACCCATCATTCCCAAAGAAACCACTTCTTTTTTGAATAGAGCCACATTTATAGACAAAGGCCAAAATACCTCCACACAAGATACAAAATATCAGTCAACACCAGATGAAAAAACAGATTTGCCAAGTAATGGTCAGAGGCTTGATAGAGAAGAAAATGATCTAAATTCTACCTTAGAAAATTTAAATAACTTGTCTATGAGCAAACTTAATGAGCCAGATGTAATAAGGTTAAAATCCTTTTGTAAAAACGTATTTAGTATTTTTTTAGGACATAATCAATCTGAAAAGAGAAGACAACCAGAAAAAGAACTAGACAAACTAATCCAACCTCCTCTTCTAAATAATGCAGAAGACCTTGAAGAAATCAAAGAGAATTTTGGTGAAGCAGACAAATTAGACAGAAAACCTAATTTGAATCCAAAGCTGGGTGTATTTCTAGAAACACTCTCAGAGTCAGAAATTAAAAAATTTAAATCTGAGTTAAGTAAACATATCCAGCGTTACCTTATAGAAAGACTTTCAGAATCAGGAGATATCACCAAAGAGGATTTATCCAAAATCTATCAAAATCTGTATTTGATGAATGAGAAAACAGAACCAAAAGGGCAAAATGTTTCTCTGGAGAAATCTTCAGAAATTATAAAAGAAACAACGTCTTTTGTAGATAATTTTAATCATCATTTCATAGATAAACATTTGGAAATAAGACTGAGATCCTTTTTAAATGAAGTTCTGCAAAACTATTTCCAAAAAAAACCTTCGGAAAGCAGTTTATTTAAAGAGACAGAAACTGAACCCGTGCACTCAAGCATATCTTCTCTAAATTCTGAAAGTTCTTCATTATCTTTTCATGAGTTAGAACAAGACACTTCAAAAGGGAATTTTGGTAGAAGGCTTGAAGTAAACATGAAATATCCTCTAGATAAATCTCTGCAAAACTGTATTATGGCTTTATCAGAAAATGAACAATTAAATCTAAAAGCTGATTTAAGTAAATACCTCCAGATACTTGTTATAGATAAACTTTCAAAATCAGGACTAATCACTGAAAGGCAATTAAGGGGAATCAGCAACCATATAGATTTGATTAAGTCTAGTTTCACACCATTAAAATGTATAAAGCCAGATTTATCTTTCAGAGATGAAAATAAATTTATGTGTGAGGATTCAGAAAAGCAAAATAAATATCCAGAAGTTGCTCATGAAGCTACTTCACAAAAGTCTCTTGAGGATAGAGTTGTAGAAACAGAATTGACCAGGAAGGACGAAAAGGAGTATTTTCCATTACAGAATATTAAAGGAAATCCAGCAATAATTAGTGAACAGAAAACAATGACTGTAATTAAAGTACAACCTTCTTCCAACAAAAATATCCAAGCAATTCCATCAAAGAAGTCATCAGAAAAACTTACAGATATAGTACTGAAGAAACAAAGGAAAGCACATGGTTTCATGCAGCTTTCTGAAGCAGAAACTTTTGATTTCAAAACAGAGATTCAAAACCCACACAGTTGGAATGGTAAATCAGAAATAACTCAATCAAACACTTGCTATGAAAGCACACTAAAAATGAAGTCCCTTGAAAAAACGGACCAGAATAACTATAAATTGATGGTACAGGAAAAACGTGAAGTATTGTTGCCACCAAACCCTAGAATTCCTTATTGCACAATGCCGAATGAAGATGAAGAATACATAGGTAAATTCACCTTTCCTCCCACGCAGAGTAACGCTGCAACTCATTTCAGTTCTGAGACTGGGAACAACAACTGTCAGAGACTGAAAGGATATAATAACAATAATAAAAAAGAACATTTAGAAATACTTGCACATTATGAAAAAGAAATACAAAGTCTTTATATAAAACCAAGTGAAATTTGCAATGAAAACAGTGCTAAGGTCCTTGAATCGGTTAAATATAAAGTTGTGGGAGCTGAGAAAAACTCAAAACCATCCCTCTTCCCAGAAGTATTAAAGAGAGAAAATCTAAAGCCCAAGGTCCGAAAAGAAAGAGATCATATCAACCAGCAAACAAAGCCATCTAAGACAGTTAAGATACTGGCATCCACGCCTCCCGCCATGAGAAGGCCAAGGAAATCTGTCCCAAAGACATTGCTTCATTGGACTGCAAGAAAAACTATACATGTAATCATGCTTTTCTAATCTTCTCCTTCTGTACTTTCTGAAGTTCTGTAAATAATCTAGGATATCTATATCTGTATATTTACACATAGATATATCTGTACGCAAGTGTGTGTGTGTGTAAACTTCGTTGCCCCAAGATGTACAGATAGATATCCAAATTTAAGAAAAATTCTTCTGACATCCAAATATCATTTTACCTGATCCAAAATATAATCACAAAACCAGGGGGCTGTTAACACATGAGTACCTTTGTGTGAAATAGATAAAGGGCACACCCTCTGGAGTATTAGGAAAAGGCATCCTTCCCACTGGGAAGATTCTGCAGGCTGCCCCAGTCTGGAGCCAGAGCACAAGCCCTGTCCACGAGAGATGGGCTGGCTTTCAGCCCCAGCTCAGCCCCGAGTCAGGGGCCATTGTACAGGCACAACGCGAACAACCACTGGCAGTGGCTGTATGCTATGGAAATATATAATGTGCTTCAGTGAACAAATATATTATTATGTCCCAGTTGTTCTGCTAAGCATTAGAGTATGCAATCAAATTATGAAGGGCAAAATTTCATGTCTTTTTTTTTTTTTTTTTTTTTTACCACCACCCCACTGCTCACAAATTTGGGAATTCAAAATCTATTTTTAATCCTATATAATAAAAGGGTAATATGCAAATTGACCCTAATGGCAGAACGACCAGAATGACCACTGGACCAGGACCAGGGGGGTACAATGTATGAATTTACATTGTAGGTATGCCAACAGATAAGAGCAGTGGGCAAGAAAATTAAAATATATCCCTTCCATTCCTAGAATAGTTTATATAAAGTGTAGTAGCAGATTTACCTTCCTGTTTTATGTTATACTAGAACCCCTTCCTGTTTTATGTCACTGAACCCCCATGGTTTTGTGATTATATTTTGGATCAGGTAAGATGATATTTGGATGTCAGCCATCCGCATGAGCCCTAGCTAGGGCCTGGGACTGAATCTGCATCCGAGGTATATCCTTTACCAGAATTGAACCCCCGACCCTTCAGTCTGGCTGATGCTCTATCCACTGAACCAAACCAGTTAGGTCCATAGTAAACTGATTTTCTAGGTAAAGCAAATATTTAGCTTTAGTAAATAGTAAAACAAATTAGTAGCAGGGTAAATATTATTAATATACTCTCAACATTGGATTTCTCTTTTCTATCTAAATTTAGTAATTTAGTATCAAGTGAGTGAGGGGTTGTGTGCACTAGGAATAGGAAAAAAATGGATTTATGGCTTTCAGAAAACAAAGACTCTGAAGATTCTTTAGTCAAGTGGAATCATTAGTATCATTTTCAAACAAAATAAAGAAATTGTGTTTAGATTACATGTTATGAGATCATATAGGGTCTCAGAATTCTTATCCTAAGAGTGGGCAAGAGAGATTGCGTTATCTTTATTTCCTTCTCTTAAACCAACGATCCCTGAACTTTTCTCTCTAATGACATTGGCAACAGAGAATAAATGGTAAGAGGGAATTCTTCAGATCATTGGAATGTCTGGCTCATCTGATTCTCTAAAATCCAAGAATTTCCCAAAGGACTGAAAAACTGAGTTGTAGGAGCATCCAGAAAAATAACCAGAGGGCAGAGGGGGGTACGGCTCCATGCGCTTCCACTGGTCCTTTAGCAGCAGTACATCCACTGCAAAGCAAGGTATAAATCACTCACAATGTAGCAGATACCCCTTAATGCTGAGGCTTATCTAATTGCTCTATGCACATGAGAGAGGAGAGGGAGAATGCTTCCTTGTTCTCTTCAAACCCAGGCAAAAATGTAAAGTGGGTCACGTTTCTTTTTAGACTCTTGGTACCTCCTATTTTGTAAATCTCTTTACTGCTGGCTAATTTTTAGCCCTGCCAAACCTCCCCAGCTCTCCAATTCTAATAACCCATGTTCACTTCCTCTCCAAATGAAAGCCGCCCGTTCTGTGGGTGTGGCCATCTCTCTGAAGTGTTAAGAGACAAGCTGCTCAAACTGCAGGGGAAACTAGTTTACACTAATTTGAGAAAGACTAATAGCTCCATACTCCCTTATGCATACTTGTAAATTTTACAAGTAAAGTTTAGAGAATCAGATGAGCCAGATATTCTGATGATCTGAAAAATTCCCTCTTACCATTTATTCTCTGTTGCCAATGTCATTAGAGAGAAAAGTTCAGGGACCGTTGGTTTAAGAGAGGGAAATAAAGATAACGCAATCTCTCTTGCCCAGTCTTAGGATAAGAATTTTGAGACCCTATATGATCTCACATAACGTGTAACCTAAACACATTTTCTTTGTTTTGTTTGAAAGTGATAGTAATGATTCTACTTGACTAAAGAATCTTCAGAGTCTTTGTTTTCTGAAGACCATAAACCCATTTTTTCCTATTCCTAGTGCACACAACACCTCACTCACTTGTAAACTTTACAGTGTAAAGTATTATAAAATATAGCCATATTATTAAAAATTTGAAGAGAAAAGGAAAACAAAGCCCACAATCCTGCCACTCTAACACAGCCACCATTAAAAAAATATATATTTTGGTATATATCTTTTTGTTATTTCTGAATGTCTTATTTTTTACTCTCAAAATATACCCATTTTTAAAATTGTTTTAATTTTAAACATTATAAGCATATCCTTAGATGCTGAACTCTGTGCATGTGTGTGTATTAAAGATGTTTATTAATTTTTAAGGAATTAAATTTGGTATAACATAAAAAGTAAAATATAGGAGTTCATAATATATACTTGGGGCTGGGGAAGATGTATTTTGGAAGAGGAGAATTACAGAACAGGCTGTTTGGCATTGCTTAGGAGTCTGACCCCTGGAGACAACTTCCCTAAATTTATCTGGTTTCAAGCTTTATATCATCCGTCCCTTTGAAATAACAGATCCTTTGAAATAATAGATTTTTTTTAAAGATTTGTTTTTATTGATTTCAGAGAGAGGAAAGGAAAGGGAGAGAAGAAAGGGTGATGAGAATAATCAAACACTGTCTCCCGTACACCCCCTACTGGGGGTCTAGGCTTAACCCGGCATGTGTCCTGAGGGGAGGCGGGTACAGAATCCAACCTTGACCTCCTGGTTCATGAGTTGATGCTCAGCCACTGAAACATACCAGTGGGCTGAAACAATGTTGTGATTTTGTTATTGTTCGTTTTTTGTTTGTTTTTGTGGTTCTACATTCTCATCTCTGTTTCTATTTATTTGGTTATTTATATCTATTTATTGTTTGTAGTATTACAGGTTTCTATAGTTTCTAATGGGGGAGGCATTGGGTGGAAGGTCTGAATTTGCCTATAAAACATTTGATCATCTCATTTTTTGTCTTTGACTATTGATATTACAAACTTTGGTTCTTATAAATGTAAAATATACTTTAAGGAAGCCTAACTCACCAACTCGATCTTTTATTTTAATATTTAGGATTGTTCGGATAGATTTGAGGATTTTCCTATGACCCCATTTCAGCATCTTAAAAAACTGAAATCAAGATCAAAGCTTTCAGAAAAGAAGCCAGATGAGTTAAAACATGCAAGACCGTGTACTGTTCCGGGGGTTAACAAGCATCGAGAAAGCTACACTGGAAAGTTTACAAGTTTCAGCAGGCTTAGTTCATTGAAATGATGCAGTCCCATATTATGAAATCCATAAAACAGTCAAAAAATTTTAAAAAGAAAATGCTGAAAATGTTTGCTCACTTGTAGTATTATCCAATTGTTAAATAGCTCAGAATGATATGTGAGACCGACAGTAAGAATATCATTTCTTCAATTAACAAAATGGTTTGGAGATCTGTCCTTTTCTGTGATAGAAGTCAACAACCAAATTTCATCTTGTTAGAACCATTTTGTTTTAATTAAAATGTAAAAGAAACGCTTTTTGATGTAACTGTTTTCATTTATGAATTATAGGGAACAAACCCAGAGATACATATTCAGTTCATATTCATTAGCAACATTGTATTCCTAGCTTCTTTTTCACTATATGACAGTATTGCTTCAATTCGTAGCTCTCAGATTTTTCAAATTTGTTTTATGTTCTGAATGATCTCTACCCACCAGTTTTTAAGTTCTCTGTGTGCTGTTGATCCCCTTATACTCTTCAGCTTTAGTTATATTTCTTGATTCAAAATAATATAATTCTCTAGGCCTATAAAACTTGTTAATTTTAATATTGGCTATCACAACTTTTTACACTATAAAGATGATAGAGAACAGATTTAATATGAATTCCTGAGGCAGCTCCTACATGTAGTGATTTTCTTGAACAACTATGAAAGGGCCTCTTTAATAACACAAAACTCAGGAAGCTGTATACATTTGTAAACACTGCCTAAAATATTACCTAGCTAAATCAGCCCAGGACTTAAGTCAGAGACTTCTGAGAATTGGCTCTATTCCTATCAAGTACAGTATTTGGGTCCTGTTGAACTTGGGCTCATTCTTGAGAAGCAAAATTTCAATTTATAGAATTTTTTGTTAGTTTTAATTTTTCTCTCATAAATCATAAAAACTATGGGGTTTAAGTAGATTGCTGATGGAGAACTTAATTCCTGTATATTCATTTAATGGTATGATCAAGATAGTACATTTTTTTGGAGGCTAAGAATTTCTAATAATCCTCAAAGTTGTTCTTGCATCAGTCATAGTGTAACTGGGAAAACAGTTATAACTCTGAATCTTTAAGTAGAAGATACATGGGGAATTGGTTTCATGAGTGATGGAATCAAGGCTAAGAAATCAAAAGGGATGTTGGGTCAATCCAGAGATTAGCAAGACCAGGATGCACTACTACAAAGAGACAGCAGGAGCAAGCGGTGCTACCAGAGTCCTCAAGCCAAAGGCCACGAACATAGAGCCACTGCCAGGACTCTCTGCAAGACTCCGGGAAGAGGAGTACAGGGTGAGAAATGCCACGTTCCCCTCTCTCTTCCTGCTCTCTGATTTTCCACTATTGCCTCCCTGGACACCCAAAAGAGAGGGTGCGTGGGAAATGTAGTTCCCAATGAAGTCAAGCAAGGGAAGAGTGGAGAAATGGATCTAAGAGCTGACAGGCAATTGACCAGCACTACTTATGAGGAAAACCATTGATGGGGTTTGCAGTAAAAAAGGAAATATTTACTATATGGAAATCTCAGATCCCTTTGTTTCATCAAACTTTTTGTGGCAATTCTGTGCACAGAGTTTAAAATTTCCTACCAGGGAAATGTCTCAAATATTCAAGTCTTAAAAAAAAAATCTCATAACTTTTATTCAAGGTTGAATTCCTTAAATATTTATTAAATGTCCATAATATGCCAAACACTTTGCTAAGCATCAGGATGTACTAGTAAATAAGAATATTCTCAAAGAGTCCACAGTCTACTAGGGACACAAGCACAGAAGTAGTAATAATAGTTACATAAGCATTATTTGGGGAAAGTACTTAGCTCATAGGGTATTTTAGCTTGGGTCCTTCAGAAAACCAACATGACATGTGTATTAGGCAGAATAATGAACCATCAATCCTAATTCCAGGAACCTGTGAATATGGTACCTTACCTGGCAGAAGGGACTATGCAGCTTTATTAAAGATCTTGGGATGAGATTATCCTGGATTGCCTGGGTAGACCCCAGATAATCTTGAGTCTTTATGAAAGAGAGGCAGAATGTCAGAAAAGGAGATGTGAACACTGAAACAAGTGCTGGCCCCTGAGGCCAGGGATGGGGGCAAGCAGCCAGAAGCCAGAAAAGGCAGCCGATTCAGAGCATGGCCCTGCCAAAGCCTTTCAAACCTCCAGAACTGTAAATTGATTTGACCTCCAGAACTGTAAATTGATTTGTATTGTTTTAAGCAACTAAGTTTGTGGTAATTTGTTACAACAGCGATAGAGAATACAGCAAGCAGGGAGCCCATGGTGCAAAATTTAAGCCAATCTCAGGGTAAGGACGTCAATCGAGTACAGTATCTACTGTGATGGTTAATGTCAAGTGTCAATTTGACTGGGCCATAAGGTGCCCAGATATTCGGTGAAACCTTCTGGGTGTTGCTGTGAGGCACTTTGGATGAAATTAACGTCTAAATCTGTAGACTAACCAAAGCAGACTGCCCTCCTCCATGTGGGTGGGCCTCTCCAGGTCAAGGTCTGGCGAGTTCCTCCCGCCTGCCTGCCTGTGGCATCAGCTATGCCAGCCTTGGGACTGGAATGCCACTGGCTCTCTAGGCCTTCAGCTTGTCCTTTCACCCTGAAGATCTGGGGACTCCTTAGCTCCATCATCATGTGAGGCAATTCCCAAGAATAAGTTTCCTATTGGTTCTCTTCTCTGGAGAACCGAACACATGGGAGATCTGAGAGGCACTGCCTCACACTCTCCCCAGTCCACCTTTTACATGCCACATCCCACTGCTCACACAGACTCAGGAGAACTTCCTTCATAATTCCTGTGGCTCTCTCTTGTGAAGGGAAGTTTACGAGGTCGGTGGACCACTACAGCCCCTGCTACCACGGGTGACCTCAGGGCCTCTCTCCTCGCGGGTCTTTGTGGCTGACTTGATGGATGACCTAAACATTCTGGACAAGGGCTGACAATCAACATGGAAAGGTTTGTGTTTCAAGTTGTCTTTTAATTTACTACTATATACTGTCTCATTGCTTTTAATTTTTTAGCCTCAAGATAATCATTTAAAAATAATTTTAAATGGAAATGTTAGAGAAGTGTACAGATTAAGAGAATCCACAATTCAAACTTCATACTCTGAGACACAGCATCTCTCTCTTGCTAATGTGGTACTACCATGAATTAAGGTCTCTTATGTCATTATATGTTATATCACCTACAGAAAGAAACAAGAATAATCATATAAAGGACCAGAATATCTTCTTTCTCCAATGATGAATGTCCAGGTTGTCCCCAATCCACAGGTTATGTAAACAAACATCTTTCCTTGGCAAAACAAATTAGAATCTGTTTTAGCTTTGTCAAACCAGGCAAAGAAAAATAAATAAAAGCATAAACTCAATTCAATAAATCTTTATTGAGCTCCCACGAGATGCATGAATTTAGGATCTATAATTTACATCAGTAGAAAAGTGTTACTTTAGCCCCTTAAAAAAAAAAAAAGAAATCACAACTTCTCTATATATTTCAAGTGAATCATTTAATGTAAGTGAGGTTTGATATTATCATAAGTATTAACAGAAGAAAATGGGAAAGTATAAACTTTTCCCTGTTACCAAACAAGGGTTTGATACCAGAGTCCACTAGCCTGTTGGTCTAACAATAGCTGATCAAAAAGGCTTGAAAATCTGGAAGTAAAAAATGTATTTGGAAGCACTGTCCTTTGAGGGCACATTCCCTGAGGGCAGGAAATGTTGAGAGAATTAAATGGCTCAAAAATGATAGTGAGATCAAGAAGAAGAATTAGTCACAGCTTTGGAAAAAATAAAACTTGAGAATGGATGACACTAAGTGTAGCTAGATGAATACTTCTAAAGTTTCCCTGGAAGTGTAGGAGTACTCTGAACTAACCAAAGGGGCTACGAACTCACGCTCCTTTGAATAGAGTGGTTTTAAGTGGTAGGTTCTCCAGTGCACCAACTGTATTTTCAAGTATAATTCTAGTATTTGTACCTAGAAATACAGAAGAAAAGCAGCAGGGAGAAAGTGTCAAGTATATAGGATGTAAAGGATTTGGCAGCCCTAGAATTCCCAGTTTGCATCTTTTTCATCAGGAAAGTCAGAGTCTGGCTCAGTCCAAGGAGGCGAGGGAGGCAGTGCTACTGATGGCTTTTGATAAGCTGGAGGCAACAATGAAAGGATTGTATCCTGGCTCTCTTCTTTCATCTGTCAAAGAAACGCAAAATAAAGTTGTTGGTACATAAATTTAATACATTAGTTCTGTTAGCAAAAATTAACTTTTAAAGAAATAATTGGAAGTGTATAAGATTGTTTTTAACCAAGTCACTAAAAATACCTTTGATTCTGGTCATCTGAAAACAGGAAGAAGGGAAAGCCAAATAGAATGATTTTTATCAGCACTGTTTTGCCCTTAAGTCATTTCCAGACAATATAGAACAATAAAATGTCTCTAAATTAATCAAAATATCAACTGAGGATATAGTCACATAAGATTTGTTTTTACTCGTTTTGCAGAATAGATGTATTTTAGAAAGTCTAACTGAACTACCCAAAAGTTTACTTGATTTTGACTTTATTTTGTAAGAAAGCTTTTATTAAGAACCTTAACAACCAAACTGTCCCATTAAGCCAATACATGAAGTGACTTTTTAATAGTATTAAAAACATGTAGACAACAAAAAAAGATCAGCTTACCTGTTTGAAGAAAACATGGGACAATAAACTGCTTGCTGATGGCCTAAAAAAATTTTAAGTTATAAAAAAATAGAAACTCATATTAGAATGTTGATTTTTAGGTGTAAAAATCTAATAGAAATTAGGTTTAGACCTACAAAACCCAATACTAAAAAATTAAAAGGAAAAATAATATATGTCAGAGGCCTAATTCTTAGCTTCCTTGACTAATGAGAAGAATTCTACAGATATCCTTAATTAGTCCATAACTCAACATTTACTAGGCACTTACTAATTATATGGAGCTTATGCTAGTATTAAGGGCCTAAAAAAAGATAAGATGCACACCCTATTTCCAAAATATTAAGTGATAAGGTGTAATTATATATGATAATTTATATTATAATAGCAGCAACTAACATTTTGTACTGCTTGAAAATTTCTAAAATGTCTTCACATAAATGCAGTAATTAACATCCAGAAGATTAACTGATTTTTACAAGATAACTTGGTTAGGAAATGAAATAGCTAAAACTGGAGCCAAGTTTTCTAATCTTGAATCCTGCATTCCTCCCTTTTGCTCACTGCTTCTACTTGTTTTTGGCATTGATACTATCTAGATTAGACTATAATTTTTGGATTGAAGATTGGAAGGAACTATCACAAAGCTTCTATTAAAAAAGTAAAACATATGTTTTATGTTACTTAGAGGTGAACAATATTACCTTTTCTCAGGATCTTGTTGCAAACAGAGCTGTACCAAGCTAAAGAAGGCAGGGGAGAAAGTTTTTGAGGATGGTGTTTGCAATCTGTCATTATTTACTGTGTGAGATCCACTGGAGACAAGTACACTTTCTCCAATCCCAGAGTCTACCCCTGACCGGGAATTCTTCATTCTGGATTCTGACTGAGGGAAAATACTGATATCCAATGGGCTGTAAGGAGGACCTTTCAATTTCTGTAACAGCATCTAAAAGACAAAAACA